GGGGGGGGGGGGGGGGGGGGGGGGGGGGTAGTCTTCTGTTGTCTTTCATTAGTCCCAGATTCTTGTGTTGATGCCAATCTCAAGACCTGTTGCTTTGATTCCCAGTCTGATTGACTGGGTTGGTACTGGGCCAGTGTTTGTGTGATTTGGGCCCCTGGTCCTGCCACCACCTCCCTGATTCCCAGTACCACATAGTTCTTTATGCGTCTGGCCCACAAAAACAGTTTTTATGTGTATTCCTAGCTTGATATATTTCCAGAGCATTCCGGGTGAAGTACCAGGCTCAGAGGTACCACCGCTGGGTCCCATCCTGGGAGTTAAGCCTGACGTCTTCGACTTATTATGGCTTATTATGGCTTATCAAGCTCTCCAGTACCTGCTGCCTTATATTTTGTGTTGTGTTTTTAAGGAAAGAAGTGCACTGAAAATTTGGGATGATCTAGAGGCTATAACGTAGCATGTCTCAGGGTCTGTCTGGTCTTGTAGTTTATTCGCGGAGCCGCGGGCCAAAGCATGTGTGGTACATATATAGTCACATTTTCTTTGCCTATTAGTGGCTGAAGAAGAGTAGAAATGAATCCCTCTGTCAGAAGATTCTATTTTACAGCTTCATTACAAAAACGTCTCTTCAGCCAATTAACAGAGTCTCAGCATTGTGGGTCTCCGATGAGTCATGGTCTATGTCCGGCTGAGAGGAGTAGACCTCTTCACTGAAGACCTGTTTAAGCTGGGATAACAATATGATGCTTATCTTTGAGTGAAAATGATCCCGCCTTCCAGAGAGCCAGGTGTCTCGCCCACGAAACGCACGTGAGACTTTGACCCACCGGCTAATCCAACGCTCATCTATCTCCACATCCCTCATCCACTCTCGGCTCATGAAAGAACCTGGATTTGCAAGAAAGAATTCAGCTACTGAAGCAGGCAGTGAATCACAGGAGAACGCCCCCCCCCCCCCCTGCCCCACACGTTCAGCCCTCTGGGGGTCTCGTACACTGCTCTGCTGAGGAGATGAATCATTTCACCATCTGCACAGGTAGCTGCTCGCGGTTCCATCACCCCTGATGAGAAGAAGGCTAACACAAGTTGACATGAGCTAAGACGAGTTAACACCAAACATCCTGCAGGAGGCCCTACCTTTACACGTTTACAAATGTTTAGTTCCCTTGTCAGCCTGGTTAACAAAAGGTGTAAAACCAATAGAGCCAGGGAATATTTGAACATTAAATGTGTGACCAAATGAGCATCAGTGTCAGAGTTGTTTACAAGAAGCTGAACCAGCTTGTAATTTCTTCACTTATGTGTAATTTATCACATTATCTCATTACTCAGCAGTATCATTTTTATATATTTTATTGCTGCTTATTTTCAGCAGGCTACTGATCATGCGTTTCAGTCCTCAACCACTGCGCCACCTTCTGGGATACCCTTACGCAGAAGCAGTGCTTTAGTGTGCTTTCTGAGATGCCAAATGGGGTAACGACAGCCTAATAGAAGGGTACTGCAGTATGAATCACCGAGCTGGATGACGGACCCCAGGACTTCGGCATCAGCGACTCGGATAGGACACATTGTTTGATGACCGCATTAGTACCTGAGCTGTGATATAATATCTCTCGCTTTCTGTCTCACGGACACTCCCAACCTGGCATATTTGTTTTCTTCGTTCCAGGCAGGTGATGCACTCCGGCACTTTCAATATTCACAGCCCATTGAACAATGACAAGGAAGCCCACAGGAAGTGGTTTCTCCGCAGGCTGACGGAGTCACAGCGGAAATTTCAGGTGTCGTCCTGAATGGGCCGCTTCATGGACGAAGAGTGGAGGGATCTGTTTCTCCAAAGCCTGCAGTTTACAGTAGAATGCTGCTTCACAAAGCGGGCTCTATCCAATACGGCCAAAAACAGCCCCCGCCCCCATGTGAGCACACAGCGCGCAGGTGTTTGTTGTTACGAGCAAAGCACCTGGGAAGGCCTCCGGCTGCCTGTGGGGATTTCAGTAAAACCGTGGGCACCATTTATGGAGCTCTCCAGGAGGGGGGGGCTGTACCGAAAACTGGCAGGTGGAGTCCCACACCAAAGATACTTGTGTACCCAGGATTTAAGGATGGGTGGGGCCCTGCTGGGAGGAGCTGGGGAGGTTCTTTACTCTCACCGTGTTCACTGTAGGTTGACAATATTGCTCCTGCCCCAAAAGAGAAGGGGAAGTGGCTGGATTTGAAAAACGGACTTGTGTAAACATGTTCAGTCTGGCAGAATTTGGAGGAGGCCTTGTTGACAGTTCTGTTCCATTGTGTCCTGTCTTTCCTCAAAGTCGTGTTGAAAGGTCCGCCGTCAGCTGTCACTGGAGCAGATGGGCTGCTTCCCCAGGCAGGGAGAGCGGAGATATTAGACTCCCAGAATAACAAAGGCAGCCCACCTTCAGCGGTTCCCAGAGGTGAAAGGGCACGGGGAGGTCACCCCAGTGTCAGTCACGTTAGGTCACCTGTGGCCATCACCAGGTATCTCCAGGTAGATTGGTCAGTAGTTAGTTATGCTATCTGACTACCATCATCTGTTACCCGTAAATATACTCATGGTATCTGTCCAGACTATAGTCATTTGATTTGGAGATGTTTTGAGAGTAAAATGAATATGAATATCCTTCATGAAAATTTATATATTTTATATATTTTATCCGGATGTCTGATCTGGGAGGATGAACAGATGCCTTTTCTTCTCTGTTTTGTGCTCTTGGGAGACAGACTCGGCCTGCTACGACCCGGCCGTCCCGCGAAAAACAAGCGTCGCCTTAACATCATGCTTCCAGCTGCGTCGTTTGGACTAACACAATTAAAAGATGAGTCTGTCCAGAGCATGTACCCCCCCCCCCCGACCCCGTGGTTGCCATGGCAACCAGCAAGTAGCACGTCTGCAAAAAAAAAAAAACACGCCCAGCATTTGGGCTTCAGTACGAAAAGATGATGGATTTCCATGAAAATCCAATTAAGTAAATTATGCCACGTGACATTTAGGAACTTCTCAGGTTTTGCGTGTGTGAAACCTTTTTATTGGGATTTTTTATTTTTATTATTAGTGATATATATTTATATATCTATATTAATAGTTATTCTTTCTATCAGTATTACCACCACAGCTTTGGCCCCATGGTTGAAATTACGGCCAGCTTAATAAATGACATCTTTTGTTTACTTACTGGTGTGGACAGTGGATCAGGTAATGCCTTTACATCAGGTTATTATTGTCGTTATCAGACGTATTTATTGCGTCTTTACACGGTTCACTGTGCAGCTTATTTGCTTTTTTCACCAGTTATTAAACAAGAAGGTAGCAGGTATTTCCACTACACTGGTTCCTTTGGGGGTGGGGGGGGGTGGGATTCTGCCAGTCCAGGCACAGTTGGCCATTTTCACAAACTGCCTGTTTGCCCCGGGCCACGCGGTGCGGGTACGAGCCCCAGCATGCACTGCATCGCTCCGATCTGATTACAAGGCAGGCCGGATATTCCAGAGCCTCGCAGTGCCGTGCTCTAACCACGGATCTGAGCAACAAAGGCTTCCTGTGTAGATTACATCCAGGCCGACAGTGGTTCCAGCAGACCATTACAGCCTGCCAACCGAAGACGTCTCTGTGAGAAATAATTCACTGTACCCTGACTGTAAACCACGTTATGTGCCACAACAAGGACTCTGTATCTCGGCTTTACATCTCTGCAGTGCCTTGCGGCAGATGCCAAACACAAACATGACGCGATAAGAGGGATAAGGAGGAAGACATTCACTATGTAAATAAAAATGACACAACTCGGCGGGACAGCAAAAGGTGAGACATGATGGCAATCTCACTTGTAAAGCTAATTTTAGCCTGCATTAACGACATCAATGCCTGTCCATTATCTGTACGATGTCTGGAATCCCAAGCAGGACTTACAAACCTAAATTCAGATAAATGTTCTTAATGTAAGGATGTATGTCTATGCAAACGCCTCATTTGGATTGGGACGCGATGTGGTGGCATTTGACATCTTTCAACGTGCAAGGTCACCCTGAAGTTCCAGGGGACACGGAGGTTGACCGTCCCTGCAGATGGTGAAAATCCGAGTGACGAGGTGTCTGACCAGCCATGTGAGTTTAGATGCTCCATCTGGGGCTTCATGAAGAACATGGCTGAGGACCTCCTGTAGAGTCCCCCACCAACCCCTAGATAAATCATGTCTTGCATCCTGATCTCCCAGGAATCACATTTGACATGAACAGGCTAATGTGGTGAACATGCTCTGAGGGTCCGCGGTTGGTCTCGGTCCTCATTTAAAAAAAAAAAACCGAGGAGCCCTCTTTGTAAACTGGGCCAACTTCAGCCCCCAGGGTGGGATCCTGTATTAAAGGGCAGAAGCAGCAGAGATGCAAAGACCACAAACACATCAGTGAGTGTGGAGGGGTGGGAGTAATTGCAGACAGGGCCTGGCACATATGTAACAAGGCTGATATATTGTTATATGTCATAGTTTCAGCTGAACTCTTTCAATTAGAAGATAAACATAGCTTTAAGGTCCTAAACTGCACACCAGTATAAACTCCCAAAGGATGACAGATGAGGTAAAACCAGTTTAAACTGCCTGGGGAGCACAGGAACCGGCTTTCAAAACTTTCACAAACATGACGACCAGCTGAAATGTTCTCTCCTTACTCATTAGACGTAAATCAACAGTGGGGATCTCTGGACCTCAGGGTCCCTTTGTTTCCCCGCGGCACGTCTCTGGGACGTGGTGTCCCCAGATGCACGGCCCCGCCTGACTCGCAGCCGCTCTCTTCTGCTAATTAAGGGCATGTCTTGAAGGTTGCCATAGTGGAGCCTCATGCATCTGGGTGATAATTATAGCGGCTGTATTAAGGTGAGTGTTTCTATTCTCTGAGATCATTACCGGCATGTATGACCTTCTTGGGCATCCGGAGACAAGATGCGTACAAATCCAACATCAGAATTGAAGCGACAGGAACCGCAGTCCTGGATTCGATGGGTCCGTCTTCTTTGTGCAGGTGGCTTAATCACAAAGAACCACAAAGCGAGAGTAAGACTGAGCCCCGGACTGTCTGTCGTAATCACATTATCATTCATAACAAGTAATGTGGTCTTTCTGACATGAGTCCAATTCAATTCCAGAAATAAAATCCAAGAAGAGCGACTCAGTAATATGAGAAAATAACTCCTGCATGTAGTTCTTATTGGAAAAACTGTTAATCATACACGCACATAATGGCTTCTTACAGCAGGCCGCCTGAACACCTCATAAGTCTGATGGCACGATATGGCCCCACTGTCTACTTCCACTAAGCTCCCAGCCTGTGATGCAGGCCAAAGATAAAAGAAAACACCTGAAGTCAGGCCTCCTCGATGCCCTTTTTGGGTTAAGTGATGCTTCCTGCCTCTGATGTGCACCTCAGGGTTCAGTCAGACTCTCATTGTGTTTCAGTTAGAAGAACAGGTGAACCGGGGCTAGGCGGGCAGGCATTTGGGTAGAGATGCAAAATTCAGGTCCGGAAAGTGAGAATCCAGACCAAGATTTTGTTTCAACCAACCAGTTGACTATAAAGAGTCACGTCACAGAGTACTCAGCTGGTTGGGTGTCAGAGAATAGCAACACTCATCCTCAAAAAATGAATCATTTCTGATTATAACCATGGAGGGAAACTTATGGAGGGACCACAACCCCCACCCCCACTGAGTTCACAAAATTCAATAAGAGGGAGCTGGGGGCATGTCCGGCCCACTGGGAAGGTAGATAGACGCAGAGGGAGCTATATTACATAGCGAAGACCTCTCTTTTCTACCACCGTTATTATTACCGAGTATTAATATTCTAGCTGCCATTTTCACAAAAACATATGGCTACAAGGTTGAAAACAGCACTATGACTTTGTACTCGACAGGCAGTTATGGAAGATGGATGACTGTTGAGTGGAAAAGTGGCCCAATGCTTCGGAATCAGCCCTTGGGGTCTGTCTCGCTTGTGACAGAACATTGGTTCTCATTTAAATGGGCTGCTCACAGGAAACACAGGGCCGTTGATCTGGCCCTGCATCTGGGCGCTGGCCATAGAGACAGGCGACACGCCTGGGCATGGGGGCCCCTGGTGGTCCTGGCAAACAAAGACCTTTTAGCTAGGTATGGTCAAACAAAAGTCTTTGAGCTGTTAATCGGGGAGGTGCAGCATACTTTTTTTCTGAAGGCATCCTACTAAAATCTCCATGTCTGTAATCTAAGGCCCATGTAAGCACTTACTGCTTTAGCCCAGACCATTAACCCAAATGGCAAAGCATTCAAATGGAAACACAGCATAGTGCGTCACCAGCACAGGGTCCCGGGCACATTGGTCAGCCACCATTACCTTCTTGCATTATAATGGTGGAGTTCTGGGTTTTTTTTTTTGGGGGGGGAGGGTATTTCACAGCTGATTCTGCTTGTTCACCTTCTTCTTCTGAATGCCATAACATTCATGTTTTTTTCCGGGTTTTCCCATCGACGTGCCTCCTGTAAACCTCCCCCCGGCTGAAGGAAGCATCCACGGCATGTCCCGAGATAGTAGCTGAACCGGCCTAGAAAACCAGGTTGGCATCGTGCCAAAGCAAACACGTGCCATTCATGCGCATCGGGGAACTTTCCAGAAAGGCTGAAGAAGAAAGAGATGTTGCACACCAATGTGTCAGCTAGCTGTCGGGTTCAAGACGGAGGGCATTTGTAGCGTGTGGCCTTGAGGAGGACGACAAGCTGTCCCGCCACGCTATTCATCATTACTCATTTGAACAGGATTTATACGAGCTTGCGCCATGACATCACCGACAACAGATCAATACTCTTAATTGATCAGCCTCTTGAGAGGGTGGCTCAGATCTTCAGCCTGCTTGAGCCCCAGCATCGACAGAATAGTCACACAGCCATGGGCCCATAAGCACGGCCTTTACCCCTCAAATGCTTCAGAGGTGCTGCACCCCTGACCCTGCACTGTGACCCCCAAGCTTGCTTTCAGCACTATATGTGTCTGTGTCTCTCATGAGGCGCATTCACATCGCTGGAACTTTTTTTCTGGAACCAGAACCATTTTTCTGGAACCAGGAACTTTTGTTGCATTCACACCACAGGAACTTGGCCCAATTGTAGTTCCAAAATCCTTTTTTAGTACCTACTCCAGACTAGGTACTTTTCGTTTGAACATGAATTACTGGGGAGGTGCGTTGATCGATTGCTTGCTGATTGGTTGATCACAAGCACCAGCGTTAAGCGGAAGTGCAGGAAAAGCGATATAGCAGCGGCAAAAATTTAGTATTTTGAATTATTTTTGCACCCTAATTACATTTAAGTAATAAATTTATACATTTTTTGCTTCCCTTTATTTCTGCATGGGAAAATTAATTTAAAAATCGGTGCTGGCTAAACTTGCCAGTATTTATTAGCGGGATAACATTTCATCATTTTTTATTTTGTGGGAAACAAAAGATCGATCAGTTCGCCAGATTTTGTCTATTGGGTATTGTGATGATGATGATGATGATTGATTACATGTTGAATGTGGTTGCTTTATAAGAGGATTATACTGGATCTCTGACCCATTTACACAGCTGGGTGTTTTAATGTCCAGTGGCACATCAGCGGTTCCTCCCTGGCACCAGACCTGGCTCATCCATCTGCTGCCAGCTGCCCCTTATAGCCTTTTAAAAAGTGGCTCAGCGCGAGATTGTGGACCCCCCAGGGGAGAGGCTGTGTCTGATACGTGCGGATCACTCAGGCCTAATCAGCAGTGCGAAAAGTGCATTATGGGCCGCCTGCTTTGACTTGTGGAAGAGAGTGACGAGGTGCCCAGTGCTCACAGTGATGCCCAATCCAACTTGGCATACAGGGGCCAATCCACAAGGCAGAGACAGACAAACACGGCCCCTGTCAAACACACCCCGAGAGTCAAACACACCACAAGAGTCAAACACACCACGAGAGTCAAAGAGAGTCAAACACACCACGAGAGTCAAACACACCACGAGAGTCAAACACACCTCAGCACCAGAAGTACACACTGCAAGTAACCTACAGATAACATATCACGCTGTATTCCACTCAATGACCACATGCAGGGAAGCTGTAATCCTCTGAGAGATCCCGATGACACCCAGAGAACACAGTGGGGATTTCAGATGACATTAATGGGTAGCGATGCCCAATAACCATGGAGCTATTTCATTTCTAACCTAGTAATAACAGTTTAAGAAGTTGAATCTTATGTCCAAACAATGGTCAGTATAAGCCGTTATAATGCATTATGAAGGTATTTATAGTGCATTATAGATGAGAGCTTCATAGAGCATTCTTAATTCATAATTAACAAGACTATAGTGTTATGCGTTTTTATAAATAGTATCTATAATACTTTATAAATGCATTATAATGTATTATGAAGATATCTATAATGCATTATATATGAGTGCTTTAAGTCTTAACGAAAAACGTTTAATAATGTACAGTGAATACAGCAGGTGTATTTCATGCGTGTATTTCAGCCCTCTAACATCACCAATGGCCCCAGCCATCAGTCGCCATACCTTCCCTGACGTCCGTAAGCGTACTGGGAGTTGGTGAGTAGAAGCGAGATTTCCTCAGGATGCATTGACACGGCACATCGCTCCAAGGCCTGTGTCAAAGAGGGAGTTTGCTCATTCAGCACGGTGAGACCTGTGTAAATATCACAGGCTAATCGCTACCACTGATCTGTTTGAGAAAAGTCTCGGCGAATGACCTCAGTAACCCAAATGTTTCCGGTATTTTTAACTGTGGGAGGCTGAGTCACCCTGGTGTTTACATGACACTTCCCTTAAGTCTCCAAACGGGGGCGCTTTCTCCAGACATGACTGTACCGCCAATAAAGGCCTTTTAGACCCATGACGCTGCGGCGGGAAGCACGAGGGATTTCACACGCATGTCTAACTGCCAGTGAAGAGACCTGTCGTTTCCGCGAGTGAAGTGAAGAGTACAGGCCAGAAAGTGACAAAATGATGTGACTTTCCTGACCGGCTAATGAGGGGACATAGATATGTGACAAAGCACAGGCTCTGCGTGACTCCTCAGTCACCCACCTGAGACTGTTTACATGGCTTTTAAGGTTAGTACATTTACGGCACAGAGACTGCTGTCACAGTAGTCCAACACACTGTAATTAGACTTGCATTACCTACTGTAATTAACCTGTCATTACGTGCCATAATTAAACCAGCGATACACACTGTAATTGAGCCATCATTATATGCTGTAACTAAGCTACCATTACGTGCTGTAATTAAACTACCATTACATGCTGTAATTAAACTTTCCTGCACTATTGCTCCACTGTCTGCACTTGCACAGGTAGCTTCATGCCTCACCTGGTGGACGTCTCCTTCTCCAGTGACAAACACGAGTTTGGAGTCTTTCTCCACCACAGTCCTGTCCTCCAGGATCCCCTGCAGCTTGACGGTGACCTCCTGGCCCCAGACGGGCCGGGTCCACTGCTGAAGGCCTTGTTGTACAATCTTCTTCCTCAGTAGTCCGTCATCTGCAGACCAACATGTGTGGAGGTGGTTGGTTAATCCATTTGTTGTTGTAGCTTGCAGACATGCAAGGCGACTCAGGACGTAGTAGCCAACAACTGGCTCTCTTCAGGAAGTATGAAACAAACGTCTTGTATTGCAGCCCTTCCTGACCATGTCAACACCCAGAGTATGAGTGAAGCTGGATAATTTACTCCTTACTGTGAGTATTTCAGCATGTATTACTAACCTGTAGTAGCTAGATCCATTATATAAGCATGTGTAAAATGACAGTATTCCGTACTGTTAATTATTATCATTATTATTATTTTGTCAGTGACTTGCGGCTAATATTCTCTATGTACCTTTTAATGAGGGATAGATCTTAGCTGCATGACTGATCACTGCAAAGTACATTATGTCGTGTCAGATCCATCAGAGATGTAGATATCATTGTCTATGGTGCGTCTGGCTTGCTGAGTGATGTACCTGTGATGTCCACCCAGTCTTCTGCGGAGAATAACTCTTCAAAGATGGAGGTCGTCCATTCTTCAGGCTGCCAGTCTGGAAACAGGCTCTCTTCATTGTGTTCAGTCACCGCCAGTGGTATTTGAAAGCGGACTGTTTTCCCGCAGCCAGGCGCTTTCATCAGCCCCCGAATGTCCACGGCGTCTTCGATGCCGTCGGCCAGCAGGACGGCGGGCTCCTCCAGGGCCAGGCTAGCAGAGGTGCGGCCCTGGATGCTGTCCTCATCCAGGCTTCTGGCCCCATTGTCCTCCTCCCTCTGCCTCTGTCTGCTCCTTGGCTGGGAACTTGAAAAGAGATTAGGTACCATGGGTGTTCCCGGGATCCCCGCATCAGGACAGGCCTCAGTTGGCCCTCCCAGCCTGCCCAAGCTCTCCCCTGATTCTGCTGCCTGAAGTTCTTCCTGCATCTCCCGACTAACACCCAAAGTCCACCATCTGCAAGGGTTTCCAGAGGGATTCCAGAAGGGCAGACATCCAGGAGCTTCTCTGCAAAAAAATGATGAGTGTCCGTCCTCTGAAAGTAGTCGCCCTGCTGCTGAGATTGTTAGACACCAATCCTTATGGCTGCCAGCCTGCAGTAGTTTTCAAAATCATGCACTCAAAGTGGTATTAAACCGAGATGCTTCACCGACCAGGATGATCTAAATCTTTGCATGAACTAGCTGAGTTCTGCCAATATCCAATCGCTACAGGAGATCAACAGGACTCCTGTCCTGTAGTGCTTATCCTTATTATTGTATATCCCACAATAATTAAAAAAGATCAGAAGATGAAATATTCCTGTGAATGAGTTGCAGTTCTCTCCAGGGATGTTTCAGGCTTGTGTGACAATAATCTTCCAGATTAAAGGAGCAAAATCTAATCTGCCCGAACGCCTGTAAGCTTCTTAGTCACCCATCACGTGACAAGATAATGTATTTCTATAACTGCCATCAACCAATGAGCATTCAGGAGGAGTTACCCATAATTCCATTGGGTCCAGCAGCATAACAAACTCACTGGTTCTCACTCTTGGCAAAAGAAAGCAGAACTGAATCATTGACCTCGTGACAATTTAGGATTATTTATGCGAGATTTGTCTGGACACAGCTGCAGTGTGATGGGTCTTCTACATGTTGGAGATTATATGCTCTCTGTCTCCAGTAAGTTTCATTGTAAAGTGAAGGATACCCTCTCGATAACCGGACCGGCTGCGATCACCTAGAATAAAAGAAGTGCTTTCACATTAATAATGGCGATTAATAACTAGTTGTGCATTTTACAACTTTGCAGCTATTCAGTCATATTAAAAAAGAATGTGAGATGAAGAATAAAATAACATGATAACAAGAATAATGCAACTGCTTCTTGAATGCTAAAATGAAGGAAGTATGTTTTTGGAACTGCTGGTTTGAAGGGAAAATCCTGTCTTTGTTTACTATAATCTGCCAGATGTTTTCTGAGTATATAAACATTCATATACAGCTTTTGAAATGAAAAAATTAAGTACATCTGTGAGATGGGATGATTTCATTCACTTTTAGTATTTGTTTTAACCTCAACTGTGACCTAGAATTGGAAGATAAATATAAAAGCACATATGTGAAATTCCCAAGATCACAAGTATACAAGGATGAGCAGAAAACTATTTTCCTGTTAAATTTTGCTCAGAGATTTTGTCATATCCATCTCGGCCAATTGGAAGCGGAGCTGAAAGAGCCTGTGGGCACACAGCGTTCCGCGGCCGTGATATCGCCTCAGACACCTTCATGGTATCTTCCGTTTATGTGTTTGTTGACAGATGTTTTCCCAGATCTGCAGTTGCCGGTCCAGCATGCTGTCAGTGATGGGGACGCGTGTCCGTCTAGCTCACTTCAGGGTCCTTCCCTCCCCCTGACAGAGGGCAGCTGGACGACACGTTAAGAGGCCAGTGCTGCCGGTTAGTGACTAGCTGGCTAGCGATCGGAGGACTTCAAACCGACAAAAATAGCCTTGCTCTCACAAAATTTTCCATTTTAGGGTAATTGTTTTGACTCTTTATAGCTTGTAAAAATTTTCTGTGTTTACCATGTAGCGTGATGTAATGTCAGTGCCCCAATCTGCTGTGGAATAATATACTATTTTTCCCCCAAAAGCTCTTTATTTTATGATGCTAATTCTATTAATTTTACAGCAGCACTAAATTTGCAGACCAAGTCTTCACTCGTTAATTTTCAATTCTTTCGACAATTGGCCGCATGTGCTTCTCAGTCTCTTTTTACTGTAATTGTCTGTTTTGGAGGGCTTATCTAAAGGGGGACAGAATGGGTACTCAGATGTACCCCAGTCTCGCTGTAGGCCTTAAAGCAAACTCAGACCAGGTTATTTCTCCCGCTTGCATTAGCACAGCTGACGATATGCAATTCTGGTTGCCTTCCACGTTCTGTGGCTAAAGTACACAGCCTTTATTTGTATTGTGAGACCTTTACTTTCTATTGACCTGCATGAAGTTCTTATCAGAGCTACTTGCAGAATGATTAACTAGCGACGGGCGAAATTATCACGGGGAAGTTAAATGAAGTGATCAGGACTGCAGGGTGTGGTGGTGGACCAGACAAACAGCAAACAACAAATAACGTTTCAAATGCTGAAGGAAACGCTGCCACCGGCGACCGAGCTCAGACCTGGGGATTAATCACTGGAATATTCCCGACTGCCGTTTCTCAACACGAATGCAGATTTGTGGAGAGGGCCATCGTCCAGCTTGAAACAGAACCCAGACCAGTTAGAAATTGTATCAGTATAGAGCAGAGTTACCCTCTGTACTGCGTTTATCGCTGCCAACCTCATAATTCCGATTTACAGACCAGTAACAAAATACTGATCTATGCATCATGTGTTATGGCGGCGGGGCATGGCCTGGGCAGGAATGAAGGTGACGATCCACTTCACAGCACCAAGACAAAAAGGGCTTTATTAAAGAAACAAAACATTAAGGAAAAACCAAGGGACAGCATTTCCAACGTGCAGGAACACATCACACTCAATGATTAACTAAAGAACAGAGAAGACAAGGGCACTTAAATAAGAACAGGTGACTAACGAGACGGCAGGTGTGCAACATGACAATTAATCAATCAACCGAGACAGAGCAACAAGGAACAGGTGGAGCAAGCAGAGAAATAGGGATCTCACTGAGACTAGGAAACACTAACCACACTGGGAATTACTACACTAGGATAATTTACAGAACCAAATAATACAAACGAGAACAGAAGTGAACAGGAAAACAGTAGGGCAGCCTATAACCGGGAAAACAGAAAAAAAAAAAAAACAAGAAACGCTGGGAAACAAGACTAATAAATATAAATAAACGAGTGAGCCTGGCCTGAAGCCAGCATTGACTCCACAACTACAGAGCTAATAATCTCCAAGCCACACATTCAGCCCACTGAGCTATGCAGCAGTTTGGGGAGCAAGCAGAACACACTAGGGATTAGACACACTGGGGCTGAAGGACAAGACACAGGGAGGAGGACAGGATGGCCAGCGACACCTGCTGGCCAAACGGGGAGGAGACACAAAGGGTGGGGTTGGGCTGGCACTGACCCTGACATCATGTCTTTTCAGGATCATACAGGTGGGTTTCTGCTTGCAACGTGTGAGGGTTGGCCAAGATCACTGCCCAGGTGTGCTACCTGAGTGTAAATAAAGACTCACGTTGGTAGAGTGGAGAAGCATGAGGCCACATGCCAGCGGCTTTGCTGCTGTGTGACCGGGGACTCAGTGCTGTAGGAACCTGATGTCGGTGTCTCGGGCACTGCAGATTACAGTGACAGAGGCTGCCACGGAGCGGTAGAGGCAGGCTAGGCTTTCTGCCCCCAACTGTTGATGTGTCGCTCTGACTCATCACTGGTCCTCTGATATTCGTTCGGGTCTTGTGGTCTCTGTGCAGACAGACCACTTTCACATTTGTTAAAAAATAAAAATACGTAATCGACTAACATGCAGTGAAAACAGGGAGCTGGGTGACTCATACATTTCAGTGAAAACTATTAGCCATCAAAATCATTCTTTTCATATCTTTTGCGTTTCTTCTTATTATTACTACAAAATAAAACTTGGAAAAAACACTGGAAAAAACAACGACAAATCTGACGAATAACGTCTTTAACTACACAATAAATCTAAACTTTATCACCCAGGGTGGCGGTAGGAAGCCGCCTGGCAAATTTGTTTATAACCAGGAAATGAATGCAGGGATATATTATTTATGTGTATTCAGATAATCCTCTGCAGTCGGTCAACTTTTTTTTGGATTTGTTTAAACACTTCGCAATCAGTGACATTCATATCTTAAACAGCAATGACAAAAAATGTGTCTCACAGGTGAAACGTGAGACTTAACACTCAACTGTGATATGAGGTCCTTTTTCTGAGTCATCTTGCCAGTGCTTCAATGACAGTTTTACTCTATTGTTTATGATAAAATGCGCCCCCCGCATGCCAACTACACCATCATCACACACATAGGCGTAAATTACGGGGGGGATGGGGGGGTTGTAGCCCCCTCAATAAATCAAAACCAGCTAATACAACCCCCCAAATAACCATGTTTCCCTCCTAATGGGTGGAGACCTCAACTCCCCCCCCCCCAATGTTCCACCCAAAGTTACGCCCTTGATCACACAGTCATCCTCCACATTTTAATAATTTTCATGTGCCATCCCCTCCAAGTGTTGGAGCCATGCCAAGACTATGACAAGCACCAGAGGCATAAGTGTAAAGTCCACGCCATACAGAAAGATCCACAAAAAGATTCATATTCACGGACAAAGCGCTAGTAACCAATTCACTGTCACATTTATGTATTAGCAGGTTTGGGACACAGAGGGGAGTCGAACACATCCTAAGAAATGTGCTTGTGTTAGGCAAAACGATAAGCAAGGATCGTCTAATTACTGGATTACATAATAAAAAAAAACACATCTCTCTCTGAAAATTATAAACAAGAAACGCGAAAAAACAACTGAATTACTGCCCGCACATATAATTATTGGCCATAAGGGAAAATGAAGAGCAATCACACAGAGACAGGGGGCAGCTTCTCCGCCTCCGGGTCGTTGGGACATTTTCTAATGACTGGGGGCATCTGGAAAGGGGGGAGGCGGCTGATGTGCGACGCGCGTTGAGAAGCGCCGGAGCCCGGCGCCTGGGCTCCAGACCCCGCCTCCGCGCCGCCTAAATGACAATGTCCCCAGACCGCCTCACTTCCAGACATGGCAGCATTGAGGCAGGAGCATCGCTATGGGCTCTCCTGCGGAAAAAATCACAAAAACGCCCCGAACAGGACGCTTTACCACGTCAAGCTGACGGACACTGCCATCCGAGCGCTCGAAGCCTACCAGAACCGGAAGGTGAGCTTTACTTAGCGGGCACTTCGCTTACTTTGCCTCGAAATCCCCGGGGCTCCGCTGCCAGCTTTTCTGGCAGCTGCAGCAGCGGCGGATCGCAGCAGAGCAGCGACACCGTGATAGTGTGATTTAAAAAGTTTTCCAGTCATCGACAAAATGCCGTGATTCAGTTCACCCGTGTTACCTAGAGGGACCTGGCGAGGTCCGTGTGCGGAAGCGCTTTATGCTTGAACCGTGGGAACCGAAAATAAAAACCTTTGGATCCCATAAACAAGCAGTCGGATTTACATATATACTGCCCAGAATGATCGTATCTGGCGTAAACCGATTTAATTTTAAGCAATCATTACAAACAGGCCAACACACATACATTTAATGCATATGTATAGGATGTATACTCAGTCTACACTAACAGACTCATATATAGCCTATCAATCACACATATAAATACGTAATTATAATAATCATAACAACGATTAGGTTCTGGATTCGAAATCATGTTGGATATTGCAGGAACAGGGCAGGGGACAACTTTTATTCCGTTTACAAACGCGGCTTTTACCATTAAATCATCTAAGTAACTTTTGTATTATCCTCGGCATTTAGAAGAATCACCGTACGGTGTGAGTGTGGGTCTCCGGAAGACTTCAGTTTAATGACATTAAAATGAAATAAGAGAAACCTAACAATCCAACAGGCGTGTTTTTTTCCGGAGGTTGTCGGCAAAAAAAAAATCTGATTTACCAGCACGTCTGCGATGAGTAATTTAACCTTTTGTATTGTTTATACCGGCTGCCCGTAAAGTCAGCGCCATGAAAACATCCGCACTTGCTGGTCCCCTGGCTCCGAGGATGCTCCACGTGAGCGTCCCGTTAAACATGGGGTGGGAGTGAGGACCCGGCTCGGAAAGGACAGTTACGGGGCATCTTTTCGTTAGCTTGTCCTCCGCATTTGAAGCTATAGGCCTACCTTATATGCCTCTTAAATGTTTTGGCCGCCGTTAATAAGCCAGTCGTTTCAATGTGACGTGAATCGGATACATATTTAAGCTTCTGACACATATACAGTCAGAGCAGTGCGTGCATCCTGGATTCACAGCAGTGATCAGGGACCCGCTTGAAAAGCGAATTAACGCCCACCCCCCAGACGGAGACCGTTTTTACTTAAATTCCCTAACAGCGCGATCAGCCGCACTGTCAGAGCTCTAGACGCCAGCTGGAGCGACTGATCGTTGAATGCCCCCAGCCCCCTGCCCCCGGCCCCTGGTGCTCCAGGCGCCCCCGCCGCTCCCCTGACCGGTGGCTGCTGTCGGTGTGGCTTTTCGTTGCTCTGCTCCTTCGCTATTGTTCTGCTTTTTATAAGCTGTGCCTCAGTCCTCTTACCCTGTTAAACTCAGAATAAGACATTTAACTCACTGCTGCTATGCTTTTTAATGCTTGCAACTATCTGCATTAGATGCCTCTATCAATCCCGAGGTGCTGAAGGATAATTGCAGTGCCAGATACTGTCTGTCTTGATCATTATTGATTTTTTTTTGTTTATGTATGATTTTTATTACTGTGAACCAACAGCCTACTTACCCAGAGCTGTCAGTTACTCCAAGAAAACCGTTAATATAGATCTGTCTAGTTAACTTTACGTTAATCCATAAAAAAAAAAAAACAATGCGTTCGTTATTATTTTTCAGGCTATTTTTTCAGACTTGTTTCCTTGTGAGCCCCACACGTGTAAATTTCCGATTTATCTATGTCCATGGACTCCGTAAACAACTGCCTTGTCCTTGGCTCTGATCTGTCACTCCATATTGCCGTAGCAAACCTAACTTTCATGATTCCCTGAAAATGCCACCCATGAGTCACCGGTGCAGCTGGTAATCTGCTTGTCAATATGCCACGAACAACACCTTTATCAAACAAGCATTGTTCAAAGGCTTTGGGCTTTCCCTTTGTTTAGATTAGGGAGTCTGCGTCAGCACTATTCATTTTCAGGTGGTAACTAACTTCTTCTCATTGCTTTTCAGGGCTCCTTCTCCAATCAACCAGCTATTTGTTTTAAGGAGAACCAAGGGGTAAGAGAGATTTTCACCTTCCAGACACCATGTTCTTTTATGTTCCCTGCTTATAGTTCTTCTGTACTTTTCTCTCCTCCGTTCTCTCCAGAATGAAATGTTTTTTGAATGTTTCCTGTTAAGATAAGCTCTTGATCTTTAAAGTACCCTTTTAGCAAATCAGCATCCATCTTAGCCTGAGCTGTGCCTCAGAGGCCGGTAATAGACGGGCCTCCTTTGCAGAGGGAGGCTACCTGATTTGCCCTCCTGCTTGTAGAGATGGGAAGCAGCCCCACAAACAGCAGCGGTGGCAGTGAGTCAGACTGGCACACAAACAGCAGCCTGTGCACTGCCTCAGGCCCCGAAACCTTAGAATGGACACTGTATTCGCTCAACCTTCCAGTTGGGTCACTGGGTCAGGCTGGCAACTGGGAAGCTTTTGTTTGATCAGGGAGCAGTGGAAGGAGGGGGCTTGGGTTGGGGGCTGGGATGTGAGGGGTATTTAGCTCTCCGTACCCCCTTATTTAGGAGAAAACAAACCTCCTCCATCTATATTTTATTTGGACAAACGAGAGTGTCGTTTATGGATTATGACATTGTTCCTTTGTTAATTATCCCTGTCTATTAATAAAGATTAATAAATGATTTAGGTAGATGTCAGTATAGAGATTTATATAATGTTTAATAGCAAATGTATATGTGGTTTTATTATATGTGATGTGTGTTGATTGAATAGTTTCAGTGTTAGTCATAAAATATTGAAAGTGATTGAGGTGAAGGGGAGTAAATTCCCCCCCCCCCCCACCGCCCGGCCTCCTGTCCGCTTGACAGGGATCAGACTAAGTTGTTGTCTTGGGGGAGGGTGATGGATGTGTCAGACTGGCTGGGCCTCATTGTGTCCCCAGTAAGGTGACAGCATACTGGAATTCGGCCCTGTGACCCAGCGGCAGCCTCTCCAGTAGGTCCAGCGATCGTATTCATTGTAACCATATTTTAACGAGACACGTTCTTTAGGGGGACGGAGAGAATTGGGTAGGAAGTTGAATCGAGGGGGTGGGCGTGAGGCTCCGTGCTTCACGGCGGTCTGAACATCTCAGCTGTGGGTCAGAGCAGACAGCCCACCGAGGCCCCTGTGCTATGCTGACCTCCACTGAGAATATAATGAGGCTGGGTGGTGGGGGGGGGGGGCTTCCCATAAACTCTTTCCTGGCTGCTCACCAGGATTTTATGGGGAGGTGGAGGGTGGGGGGGTTTAATTTCTGAAGCTGGATCCTGCTGTGGGCTGTCAGCTGCTGTTTTCTTCTGCGCCGCTGATGGGCCGCTTTGAAAAGCCCTCCAGTGGGTCAGCACCACGAATGGGGACTCTGGTAGGGGTGAAGACGGAGCCTGACTTTGGCTTAAATGCAGTAGCCCTCAGGGGGAAAGGCGAAGTACCTGGATGAGGCAAAAAGATAACAGTGGCATTCAGTAAGCGAGGCATGATGCAGCAAATCTCTAAAGTAGGGTTCGCCTAGAAGACTAATGAGTTTAATGACTGAGATTAGCTGAACTCTCGGAAAGCCTGGGAGCGAAGATCGGTTTGGTTTTGCGTTTCCGTGTTTATGATGTCACCTAGTCGGGAATTTCACACCCAGGCCGTGTTTAGCGTCTGTCACTGAGCTCCCAGCTGGGAATTTTGTCCAGCTTTACAGGTCACAGTTACTTGTTACAGACCTGTTTTGTTTGGTGCTCATTAGAGATGGAGATACTGTTGTATTACCATGAATATCAGTCATTAAATCATCAGTCGGCCTCAATGCAGGGGTAATTTGCTTTTCAAAGAAAAAAATATATATAGTCGTTATCAATTATTAATATAATTATTATTGTGCATGGTTGTATGGTTTTATGACATACATTTTTATGGATGACTTCGGTCTTCTGGTATCATTCATCAACAATAAAGGGTTAATAATGGTGCTGCAGACTGATACCTGCCCCTTTGCAGAGCTCCTATGAAAGACATAGAAAATACCCTCAAAAGTATTGATATATCTCTGTAAACAAAGAACAAAAAACAAGAATATGGGATTTTCTGTGACTCTGTGGACACCTTTGAACCATCCACCCTGAATTTGCTTGTGAAGCATAAATAACCAGTTTGAAGCTGCTCTTTCTTGGACATATTATGAAAAGATCCAGCACATTGGGAGCAGAACTTAATGCTTGGGAAAGCTGAAGGTTACAGAGGAAGACGACAAGCAGCAAGAAGATGAATGGACTCCATTTCACAAGAATGATGGATGGCGTCAATATTCATAGCATACCTTCGGGAAGCCTGAACACCTGGACAGATAGTTCTGGAGGAATGCCATCTTCATGGTTGCCAGGAGGCAGTGATAGTAATGATAATAATGGTTCTTGACAAAGAATCGATCTAGGAGTGTTGCTCACCTTTGAGCAAGTAGTAGTCTGAGATACTTCAGGTATAGTGCTTTGGTCTGGTTCTCAGGCAGCTACATGGCTTCAGCTGGTGATGCATGAACAGGGTCCTTTGGAGCAGCATCATACATGGAAGCGTCTGCCCTCTGCCTCTTGTTGGGGGGGGGGGGGGTTCACCATCTGCCGTGGAATTCAGCCATTTCTGGGACGGGAACTGAAAACCTTCCGGGCTTCAGAGACACTGAGATGTGGCTGTTCTTCTGGAGAATCTCCCACGTTTATCTTGTCTGTGCTTCCCCGCAGGGGTGTAGCTTGGAATTCTGGGCCTCCTGGCTAAATGTCACCTTGGGGTCCCCCTCGGTAGATTTTACCCACTGGAGGGATATTCTGCTGGGCCCTCTGACTCTACCAGGGTATCCATGCCCCTTCGACACCCCTCCTCTCTGGTCTTGACCAGGGGTTTGGCAGGATGTTTCTTGTGGACCCCTCCCACCCCCCAGCACATATAGACCCAGTGAAACGCCCCCAAAAGGCCTAATAAATGTGTGAAATCAGTAGTGACTCAAGGCAGGAGCGCAAACAGTGGGAGCATGTGGTGTTCATGGCTGGGGGGGGGGGGCTAGATCTTAAAGGAAAATGAAAAAGAAATCAAAGTGAAATGAAAATACGCCTGGGAATATTTTCATTTCACTTAGGTGAGCAGCACGTGTCTGACTCATGACTGACAGTACAGAGCCTGTAGACCCCTTAGGCCTGAGCGTCATGCAGCCTGCCGGCACGTGTGGGGGGAGGGCGAGGGCTGCATGGGGGGAGGGTGGGGGGTGCTGGCCGTGTTCCGCCAATCCCAGCAGCCCCATGCCTGCCCGTGGAGTGTTTCTGCACGTGTGCTGCCTGGTCTGAGAGTGTCCCTCATTACAATGACAATGACGGCTGAGGGGACGCGGAGCACAAAGGGGCCGTCCGTCCCGCCATGCCCCGCTGTCCTCAGATAGACCATCCCTGCTGGAGCAAGTGTGACTAATTCAAAGTTTACCAGGTCCCCTACTGGAGACGCGGGCGAGTCTGGGCTCAAAAATAGGCAGAAATCAGAAATCACAAACAGGATCAGTGGGGCACTAACCGAAACGTCTGAGCGGCAAAGACTGTCTCCTGCTAGTTTGGTGATTCCGACCAAAATGCCGCTGAATGTTTGTTGTGGGTGTCGCCGTGCGAGAGGGCTCCCCTAGCTGCGACAGCTGATCCGCGGGGGGATTAAACTCTTCTGGCAGCATTAATGGAGGGCAGCTTTTCAAAAAGCTCGCAAATGAGACATAGTCCATGGGGATCATCAGAGATGAGTGTACGTTTAAAATAAGCCCCTTCCGCCGTGGCATGGTCTGCGTGAGCAAAGAGCCGCTGTCTGCGTGAGCAAAGAGCCGCTGTCTGCGTGAGCAAAGAGCCGCTGTCTGCGTGAGCAAAGAGCCGCTGTCTGCGTGAGCAAAGAGCCCCTGTCTGCGTGAGCAAAGAGCCGCTGTCTGCGTGCTGCGTGAAAATGCTGTTTGCAGAAGCAGACTAGATGGTGTTTGAAGCTGCAAGCAGAGGCCTGAAACTTCAGCTTGGTGTTTTTTGGGAGAGAGAGCCAACACACAGCGGTGTTTCCTAACTGCAATTTCTAACTGTTATTACTTATTTCAATTGATATATATTATTTATAATGAGCCATATAATTGTGAGCTCCAGGTAGAATCGCGAACAGAGGTGGAACAGGATGTGTTCGAGTTACATCTGATTACACACGTGGTCTTTAACTTATGCCAGGGTCATTAATCTCAGAGTGACAGCACATTGAATTTCGTTTTCAGGGAACAAAACACTAATGGCTTGTGGCTGTTGTTTTTTTTTTGTCCGTTATTGTTTGCAGATCTATATCCTTCACAGTTTTTTTTTAATTACATTTAGAGTTACATCTTCCATTGTCTCCCTGTTAGTTATCATTTGTAGACCTGTATCCTTCATTGCCTCTCATATCTTGATAGGGCACCACCTTACAATAAGGCTTCCTTTTACGACTTGTAAATGGTAGTAACTCATTATTAAAAAGAAAACGGTGTTATAACTTGTTTAAAATGGTCTATTAATAATTTACAAAGTGTTACAGCCTAATCAATGATCAGATTATAAACCATTCATAAACCCTTTATATGGGGAGTCTTATTGTAAAGTTGCACCCTTGATAGTCTGTAGATTTGTTGGTCTGTGCATTTTTGTTGCATGCAAGATTAGGGAGAGCTTTGGAGTTTGGATTGCTAGTCACCAGTAGAGAGACTGGAAAGTAATGGTTAAACTGGGAAATGCACCACAGCAGGTTTGAACTGGTAAGCTACTGGTCGTGTTTTCCCAATGATTCATAAAGAAAAAGAACAAATTCTCCTGAGCTTAAAGCCACAACACCTGCATGCTACAGCACAGTTCAGGTCACAAATGTCTAGGGTCACTCCCAAGACTCCAGAGGTCAGGGTTCAAGTGTGATGGCTACTTTGTCTGCTAAAGCAAAGCAGTGAAAAGAGAGATATGAAGATGTTACAGAATAAGTCACCTCCTGAGACAGAGTGTGACGTGTT